TCGTAATACATCATCATCATCATCATCATCACCAACACAACCATCATTATCATCATCATGATCATGATAAGAAAAAGTCGTCGTCATCATCATCACCTCATCATCACCACCATTTTTCAATACCTCATTATCAGAAACATCATCATCTTCACCGCCACTATCATCATGATCACTATCACTAAAGTCGTCTTCATTATCATGGCCATCATCATCCTTAGCAGCAGAAGAATCATCATCAGCGTAAACACAGAGTCAAAAGGGCCATAATTTTTACTCTTACTACTCATCTGATCAATAGCTATCGTTGTTACTAGAACGCCCATGCCTATGTCAACGCCGGATTTGCTTTTCCAATCGACAAAACAACTCTTACATTGACTTCACAACCACGTATTGTCTATGGAGGCATTACATTCAACTTTGTAAGTCACCTTTGCTTTTCATTTTATAAATTTGGTTTATGTCTCTTTGGTAGTTTTGTCTACAACATTTTTTGTTGTCTTCCTCAGTTTCGTGCGTTGAACACTGAGAGTTTTCTCATCGGTAAGAAACTAACAGCTGATACCCTCAAAGGTAAAAAAGCAACTGTCTTGTTGGTCAATGAATTATATCATATATAGTGACTAATGAACTTAAAATTACGATCAGATGCCCTTGAAATTCTTGATGCTGAGATTGTGCCTAGCCCTGAGCTCATAGCTCATAACGGAAGCACTGTGGCGTACCACAAGGATCTCGCTTTGACCCTCTTTTACAAGGTAACATTAGTCTAGATTTTATTTTGATTTTCACATTGCAAGAATATGTATAAATCAATAAACTTGATTAATCTGATTTTGTCGAATAGGGTTACATTGCTGCACTAGGTGACCAGGCCTCGCCTCGTCTCCAGTCTGCTGGGAAGTCTATTCTTCATGAAAGAGCAATTTCAAGTGGCATTCAAAGCTACGAAACCAAGCCTGATATGTTCCCCGTCACCAAACCTATGACTAAAATTGCTGCCAATCTACAGGTAATAGTTAGTTTGCATCCAATGAGAGTGAAAGGGCAAAAGACCTGACCGCCATGTTGGTTGACMCGACAAAAATAGACGAGATCAAATGATATGTCCAAGTTAACCATCCATTATTAAGTTAATGCACATGCAGCCCGAGAATAAGTAAGCAAAGGAAGAAAAAAAAATAATAAAAGGAAAAAAAAAAAAAAAAAAAAAAAAAAAAAGAAACGAAGCTAAAAAGCAAAAATATATTTTTTTCTAGGCATCTGGTGAAGCTGAGTATGTCAATGACATCCCATCCCGAGAGGGGGAGGTGTACGCAGCTTTTGTGACAAGTACTAAGGTATGTATTTCTCAGTTGATTGAAGATGTCGGTAATGCGTAGCTAATGCGCAAGATTACCCGCCATGCACTACGCCGATGTAAAGACAGCTATGTTTGACTTCTCTATAGCCTGTTCTGCATAGCGTTCTATTCTGCCCTGTCTTGTTCTTTACTGTCCTTTCTCCTTTCCTTTCCTCTCCTTTCTTTTTTTCTCATTTTCTCTTGAATCTTTTTGCATCATTTTCCAGCTATGATATTTTAATTGATGCGTTTTGTTTCGTAGGGTAATTGCAAAATCGAAAATATCGACCCTTCTGATGCCCTGGTAATTATAAATCAAAAATCAATACCCCACTACCAAGATATGCTTCGCTTGTCACGCACGAAGGTTTTAACACAAGTCTACGTGCTAAATTCAATTCGTTCTTTTCTCCTGTCAYGAATAACTGTGCATTATGAACGAARCYTCACATTGAATCCTTTGTGCGTGACAAGCAAAKCATATCTCGSAAGTGGGRTATTGTATAATTGACAAATACTTRCTCTCACTTGTTTATTTTGCAGGCGTTGCCRGGAGTGATAAAATTCTTTGATGCCAAAGACRTACCAGAAGGAGGGGAGAATAATGTGGCTTTTTTCAACCTACCAGGACCTAAAGAAGGAGTAAGACGTCTGTTATATTCGATTCTCTAAGTCTAGCGTGCACTAGAACTCGATATACTGCATACTCACGATATTAGGAACAATTTCGAGTATAAAGCTCGGCCTTGGTTGATTAGTTTGTGCCAGAAATCGATATACTACATACTGACGAGATTAGTAATACTCTCAAATATAAAGCGCGGCCTCATTGGTTAATTAGCCTGTACTAGAGCCTGATACACTGCACAATGACGTTATGAGGAAGACTGTCAAGTATAAAGCGCGCCCTAACTGGTTAATTAGCGTGCACCAGAAGTCGATAAACTACACGCTTGTCGGAGTGATCAGTAAGTGCGCGCAGTTTTGCGCAAATGGCTTAATTATTTTGTTTGTTGCAGGTATTTTGTGAAGGAGATGTACTGTTTGTTGGTCATGTCCTTGGAATCATTGTCGCAGGTAATTGTTTGTTTCATTAGAACTTGTGAGGCTTTCTTGTACGATAGACATGACATAATGAAATAATAATAAGAGCTGGAGAATTCGGCTGCACTGGCGGCTGCCCTCATCAAAATCATCTTAGGCTCAGGTCAAACGTCAAACTTTACATGAGCCGTATGCACTGGAAACAATGGATAACAAGGCAGTCTTCTTTCATGTCATTAGGTTCGGCTCATGTGAACTTCGACGTTTTTATTCGCCCTTATTATTTCATATTCATTGTGATACTAGAGTCTAGGAATACGAGAGCTAGGCCGTGTGGGGGAAACGGAAAAGTGTTACTGTACATGYGTTGTTTACAACACAGTCGTTTTTAATAGCACGTGTGGAATCGTACAAGTTGCTGTCGTGACAAAAACAGGTTTTGTTGGAGATCAGCCAAAGTGTTACCATGACGTTGTCAAAAAAAAGCAATTAAAAGCATGGATTAAATTCGCTTGTTTTGCCTATTTCAGACCACGTGTCACACTCTATTGAGAAACTATTATTAAGATTATTTGTTTGAGTTGTATCCATATTCATGTGTCTTCTCATTGCAAACCGTTAAACAAAGAAATAATACTATAGGGAATGACACGTGGTCTGAAACAGTGGATTAAGTCTATTGAATAGGACATGCATATGGAAGACCATTGAATGTCATGGAAACGCCTTGATTGACGTCCACCAAAACCGACGTTTCCACGCGTGCTAATGAGAAGAAAATGAATGTAATCGTAATATCCCTTAACATTGTGAACACAGAAACACAGCAACTTGCTGACAAAGCTGCCATGATTGTCAAGRTAACATACAAGGACTGCAAGCCGCCTATTCTCACCATTCAACAAGCCATCGAGGCCAAGTCTTTTGCTCCTCCATTTCCCTTCTGCCCGGACATCAATGTTGGAGATGCTGAAGGTTGGTACATCATCCTCTCCCTATACTAGCAGGGACGGATCG